TTGTTTGATCCAGTTTGAGTTGATTTTTATAAGTAATAAGGGATAGAGCTCAAGTGAAACCCTCCAATTTTAAAATTTGAAAACTTAAGGGGCACAACCCACAGGCTTACATCATTTAGCAAAAAAGTCGCAACATTATAAAAACATTTTTATAATAGAAGTTTTCCAAATGCTCTCTCCATAGTACATGTTTCTTTTATAATAATGTCTTCCCATTTATTGTTAAAACATCACCTTTACCATGAAAGCACAGCTCCTGCTGGTGTGTGCACATGTGCATTCCTGTCTGTGTATGTTTACATCTGCTAATCAGCAAACCAATAATTTTTTTTAAATGAGAAAAATTGGGGCACCTTTTCTTCTTAAGCAACCAAAAATCTAACAAGTTTCACTTCTTTTAAGTAATTTAACAAGAATAAACAAAAGGATTTTTCTTACAATCTTGTTACCAAGTATAACAAAGATCTTGTTTTATGAAATTAACAATATTGAGGGATGACAATGACTTTTGTCTCTTCCTAACTTGAATTAGGCTGTATGTCCACCTTCCAGATGTGCCATCCTCAAGTTTGCCTTTACTCCCTCTAAAAGCCCAAGTTCAGGGGTCCCCGAGATGCCTTCAGTTCTCTTCAACTCATCAAAAATTTAGAGTTTCCCAAGCCAGTGTTATAATTTGTGAATAAGGTTCACTGAACTCAGGATTATGCCTTATTTATTACTAAAATTCTATACCATAAAACACAAATTAGAACTAAAGAGAGAGACGGGGTAAAGTCTGGGAGGTCTACAAATGTGATGCCATTGACTCCATATACATGTAATCTTCTCAGCACTTCAATGTGAGGGAATTTACTCTGCACTCATCAGAGCTGTGATGTTCCAAGATTTCACTGGAATCCATAACATAGGTGTTACCGGTTTAATCATTGGGTTTTAAGTTGAACTCAATCTCCAGCACCCGTTCTCTGCCTGAGCTGATGCTTTATGGTTCAAAGCTCCAAAACTCTAAACACACCTAATTTAGTCTTTCCAGGATGGTAAGACTTGCACATGAATAATTTTGTTGGTATAAACTGTCCAAGGAGACCCCAGTAGCATAAAGTTTCATTGTCCATCCCAATAACATGGCAAGTCTTATTACTTTGGAAATTCCAAAGAGTTTGGGGCAACATTCCAGGAACTGGGATAAAGAGCAAACAAATTACTTCTTACAAAGTAAACTGCCCATGATGTGACAGGAAGAGAGTACATGGATTAGTGAAGTGTGAGATTAACTTCTCAGAACCTACTGCTGTTTTCTCATGAGAGTTCCCAACCACACATAATATGCAGCTAATACTAAATCCAGATGACAGTAGTAAAAGGTAACTATATACAGGATATATACATATAGGTGTATATATAGGTATATATATGTAATATACATACAGGGTATATATATAGGTAATATATATACAGGGTGTGTGTGTGTATGTATATATATGTAACTAGAAACAGGGGCAGTACTTTATCTTTGTGTCTAATGGTTCTTCTTTTTGCCACCTAGTATAGTCATGTTCCATTTTAATGTCACTTCCCAAGAGATCTCATGACTAAATAATGCAGGGATTGAGGGTGAATTATACAATTGTGCTTAAGTCCTTTATCCTGCTCAGGGAAAAAATTAATCTCTGATGCCCTTGATATGTCTTCCTGTCTGTGTAGTTTCTGTTCATTCACTGATTTGTCCAGGTGACATTCTATTGGTCTACTGGAAAATAGAATCAGAGCAAATACAGTGTACAACTTATCCAAGAGGAGCACGCTAATACATCATTCAGTGCACAAGGGGCAAATCCATGATCCTGGTTCCAGAATGAGGAAACACATGAAGAGGATGTCAGAAGTGTTCCACTCAGTCCTAAGCAGACACTAAGCCTACAGGAAATGTTTGTGAGGAATAAGTTTGTGGTTGTAAGCCTCATACAGGAAGTGTTGTTTGAGATATATTTATAATATGACATTCTAGGGAGAAAGAGGTATCTTTAGAAATACTTTGTACTTCCCAGATAAACAAGAGAGTGAGACAATTTTAAACCTAGCGTGGGAAACTTAGTGAGACCTTGTATGAAAATTAAAAGATAAAAAATGCTGGAGAAGTGGCTCAGTGATGGAGCACTTGCCCAGCATGTCTGGGCCCATGGGTTCAGTCCTCTGTACTGCACTTTGTTTGGAGAATCAGTGATTGCTTCTCCACATGCAAGGACTATATGTTAGGTCTGTTGTTTAATTGCAGAGAACTTGTAACTTCCTTATCTTTCCATTAACCTCTTTTGTATGTTTCCTCTTTTCCTCACCAAATAATTTAGTACCAAAAGCATTAGATGCATCAGGATAAGGCAGGTTTCTGTGGTAGGTGGGGCAGCCCTGCTCTGGCTCAGGATACCAGAGCTCAGCAGGAAGAAGGGAGACCCTGAAGAGGTTGGACAGAGCCAAGCACAGTGAGGTAAATCTCACCCTGTGGTGGAAAGTGTTCTGGTGTGGACAACCACAGTGTTGTTGGTGGACCAGGTGCAGAGTGCCAGGGGATAGGAGGATTGAGTGTTCACTAATCTGAGAGGGGAATAGGGTATCCGTGTTTTAGGGTGTCAGATGCAGTGTTTGGGGTCAAGCAGGCTGAGGAAGACATCCATGCCTGAAGTCATTTTTTGTGGGGACTCAGAGGCCCAAATGTATAAAGAGCCTTTGTGGATTTTGTACCAGATCTCAGCATCTGGGAGAGGTGAGAAGGGTCCTGGGCATAGTGTGGGCTCGAATGTGAGGTGGGACTTAAAGCCTAAGCAAGGTGAGGTGACCTGGTGTTGGCAAGGAGGTTGTCTATGTGGTCGAAGCCCAGTGTGAGGATTCAGAGCCTCAGCAGGGTAAGGAAGACATCCTTGCTGGGATGACTGGAAATTGGGAGTCAGAGCCCAGGCAGCATGAGGAAGCTGTCTATGAGGAAGGTAGCTTTCAGAGGCTGAATGAGATAAGGGGGCACAGGCAGGGTGGGGAGTCAGAGCCTTACAGGTAGAGGAGGCCTCTACCTGTGTGGTCCTCTTATGTGGGGGTCAGAGCTCGGGAAAGCTAAGTGGTGGCTGTGGGATCTGCATCAGGAATGAGAGCACAGAGGGCAGAGGCTTCCCTATGAAGCATCAGGTGTCAGAACCCCAGGATCCTGAGCAGATCAGGGAGGGCACTGGGGCAGGGGACAAGGACTCAGACTCAGAATTAAGAGTCCAAACAGAGAGAGAATTGTGCCTTAGCTGGGGAAGAGTGGCCTTGATGATGAGAGATTGATAATTCCCAGGGAAGCAATCAACTGAGTCAGTTGAAGAGAATGAACTCAAGGTTATTACTGTAACTAAAGTGAGTTAGAAATGTTGAAATTGACAGAAACTAGGATAAATTTTGTGGCTTTGAAATGACATTTAAAATATCTGTGTGAACGCATGGTTTTCACTATATTTACATATAGAAATTAACATAGAAAAAATATAGATATATGAGGAAGTAAAGGGTGTGCGTGTGTGTGTGTGTGTGGTGGGGGGAGGCAGAGAAAGAACTAGGTGAGGGGGAGTAAAGAGGAGGAATCATTTGAGGAGAGGTGGGCAAATGGCAAAGAACCTAAATGTAGAGTGTGAGCATGTTTGTGGAAAAGTACCACAAGAAAAATTTAGTTTTTAGAGGAGTTTCCCCTTTGCTTGTGAGGGGAAAAATCATATTTAGCACTCAGTTCAAGTGTATCCTTGTCTACAGGTGATTCCATTTAATTACTTTCACTGTTGGAAGGTAAGTCCTATGTACCCACAGAGCGTGTGTTCAGATGGTGAGGAATGGGAGGGACAGAGAAGTGTAGGATGGAAGATTCTCTGCTCTTCCAAAATCAAATAAAGAGAGCTGCTTTGAGTTCTGTCGGTGACCAGTAGCAAATGAACAGAGGTGCCTTATGCAATTAGTTACAAACTAAAGGAGGAATGGGAGCACAGTGGAGCAACTTCAGAAAGAGAAAGACTCACACCACGCCTTCCCAGCCACAGTAGAGGGAGCTGATTCTTGGAAGGAGGGAGCGTGACATCGAGTTTGCCTCAGTGCTGTGCTTGGAATGTGGAATCTAGATTGTGCCTCATCAGCCACTGTTGGGAGCAATGCTACATAATTCTAGGGAAAAATCATTTGGTTAGCCTAGTTCTCTTCCTACAGCCCAGCTACAGAATAACTCCAGTTTGGCCTCCGGTCACAACTGAGACTTCAGTGATCCAGTGATGCTGTGATTCTCCAGGACAAAAAACATCCTGGGAGAACAAACATCTGCTCAGTTCCTCGTTGTTCTTGGACAGTTAACATCTTGTTTGCCGGAAATGTACTGAACTCTCTGCAAGCCTTCTGTTACACCTTGTTTATCCCAATGTGAACTATTGAACTCTCTGCAAGTCATTTGTTACATTTGTTTCTCCCGATGTACTGAATTCTCTGCAAGTCATTTGTTATGAGGTACTGAATAAAAGGTGTGGTAAGCTGGGGGCTTTTGTCTTTGCCACCCAGAGCAGCACTGATCAGACCCAAAGCTCAGCTTCTTCTCAGTCTCATTTTTCTACCTTTCCTGTAATTCTCTGTGTGCTGCCGTGGCTCGCAGGAGACCAGGACTAACTGCAGAGGTTCTGGTAATGTCCCCTTCCCCTGTCCCCTACAAGCCACAAGTGATGAAGTGAATGTAATGTGCACAAGCATTAGCTCAGGTTGGTTTCTACACAATTCTTACACACAGAAGTATGTGTGCTTTATTTTTGCCATGAGTTCACGGGTCACAGTTCTCTGTATGCTTGGTTCCTCTTTTCTTTTCTTCCTGTTTCTTTTTCTTGTCATTTGAGTCATCTTTTTTTTTTTTTTTTTAAGTATTTGGGAAATGCATTGCATATGTTTAACACCAACAATCGTCACTGTGCTTGGCCTGGTGATGGGACCTCTGGTTGGAATTGAGTGATTCCACATTGCTGTTTCCAGTTCTAATGAGGTTCCTCCCAGGCTACTGACCTTTACTCCACTGCTCTCATCTTGGTGAATGATTGGGGAAACTATCACCATGTTTAAGCCTCATGTATAAGATGTTTAGGGGAAAGATGAAACATTTTCTGAAAAAGCTGGAAGTCTCTTCTCGACATGGCTTTGGAAATCACTTATGCTGAAGTGAGGTTCAAAACTGAATCCAAGTCCTCAGGCACCAACTCATTGTCTCCCAATGGTAAGAAGCTATTTCTAGGGATTGGAATTAATGATTAGATGCTGGCTGGACAGAGGGTTTGTGAACCCGGAAGGGGTGATGCTAGTTGCTGGTTGTCTGAGAGTCCCTGAAGCACACGAGTGTCAGCAGGCTAAGTGACCTGTGGTTCAGTGCTCAGGAGCTATAGAGATGCATAGTGGAAATGAAAATTCACGATACTTTCTTTTCTCTTAATATTTAGAGTAAAGCATATTTTACACATTATTATGTATCCTTAAATACAAAAATATACATAATTGTGTGTATATATATTTTCAAAAGGGAAATTATGTTCTATAATCCTGAGGTTTACTTTTACCCACTTGACAATATTTCATAACTTCAGGACAATGTTTTTAAATATTATTTGGTATTAAATATTATTTGAAGAAACCCTTCCCCCCCGCTGCAGGGGTCTAAATCCAGGGTAGTATTGTACACATGCTAGGTAGGTGCTCAAAACTGAACCATGATGTGACAACTAAAGATACTGAACTAAAAGATGAAATGAGATGATAAAGATTTATCTGATAATAGCACATAAATCTTTAAGGTTGTAAACAATATAAGAAATTATTTAAATATTAAATGAAATACTGTGCAATTAAAGTGTATTAAAGAACAAAATATGCTGATATGAAAAATGTTCATGCTATGAGTATAAAAGAAGTAGTTCAGAAATTAATATATAGAGAGAGTATCCACAATGTGATACAATACACATATATGTACATTCACTTAAAATTGCTAAAAGGATAGATACAAAAGCATTAACAACAGTTTTTCTCAGTGGAAAGAATTTATACTTTTGTACAAATTTTTAAAGTTTTTACAATCAACATTATTCTTTGTTATTTTAATATTACTTCAAATTCTGTGATATTAGAAATTATATGCCATGCAAATGAAGAAGACGAGGAAGAGAAAATTAGAATGCAAATTCTTACTGATGAAACTAATTTGGTTTCTCCTTTAGCTCACAAAGAGAAGACCACTTCTCGCAAACGTAATCCTGGTTTTCCCAAGCTGCTTTTCACATCATCATTGATGCTTTTGCTACTCTTGGCAATTTCACTTCTTGTTGCTTTCATCAGTAAGTACACCAGCAGAGTCAACAAGAGCGGACTGCTTTACACAAAGAGATGTCCATTGAAAACTGACATTTGACAATGGGTTTATTTCATCATCTGAACAAGAAATTTTTCTCCAGGGATATACAATTTATAGGACACCATTAAGTATTTTCCTCTTTATTTGGATTTAGTTACTTTCCTCTAAAAACATGAAATCATTTCTCATTGGAGCAACTGAAGTGTGAATGTGTATGGATGTGTTGGTGTTGTCAAGTCAAATCTATGGGGAATCATCTCTGTAGAAAGCCAGATGAATTTGAGTGCACAGACACTGATACATTGAGATGATCAGCTGGACAGAAAAATTATTAAAAATATTTCAGGACAACTTCTCCAATGATATGCTTCTAGTTATTTCTATCCTGCCCAAAAATGTGTGAGATGTAAAAGCTTATTTAGCAAGTATGTGGATATCTGCTTATCTAGCCTTTCAGAAAAGTTCAAATTTTTATACCAAGCTTAAAATTACTAAATTTTCAAATACACATTTTATTCATTCATGTAGTCATTCCCTAAGTAGTAATAGCTATTTGGTATAATGGACAACATACCATAATATGTCAGGTAGAAAATCCAGAAACAGACACATCCTTTGATTTAAAAAAAAATTGAAGAGTCAAACGCATCAGTGCTTACAGCATTGTATGGGGAGAGTTGAGAGGTTACAAGTAGGCAGGGGAGACTGTAGACCTTCCTACAGAAGGTGACATCTGGAGCTGTGTCTATTAAGGACGAATGAAGATTCAATTTGCATTAGTGCAGTGCTGCTTCTGCACATTCTGTTGGCCAAGGGAAGGAAGTCTTACAGTCAGTAGTCAAGAAATCGATCCCATTTCATGAATGGAGGAGACTCAAAGTCACATAGAAAGTGGTGTGGATACAGGTAGGGTTGAAAATTGTGGCCATTTTTTTCAGTGTTTCACAGTCTTGGAAAGATATTGAAGAATTTAAAGAAGGAAATGATACAATAAAATTTGATTCATAGTTAATTTAAAAAAAATTGACTCATAGTATATTTTTACATAAGTGTGAAAATATATTTATGAGGAGAAAATTAGAGGTAAAGAAAGAAGTTAAATTGCTAATCTATAATCTGATGTTAAAATAGAGCTTGACCTAAAGACAATGATGTTAGTGAAATGCATTAAGTTTTGAATGAAAAGGAGATAGAATTATGGAGCAGGCATTGATGAACATTTAGATCTGTGGATTAAAAGTTCTAAAGAGCCAAAGTGTGACTCTAATATCTTGACTTGGTGAACTCAGCAAACGAAGTTATTCAAGAAGGGAGCAACTATAGATGAGTAGCTACCCTGGGTTGGGAAACAATGATTTTAGTTTTAGGTATGTTGAGTTAAACCTCACAGGTATATGTCTAGTGGGAAACAGAACTTCAGAAGCTGTGTGTATCAAGAATGAGTAAAATCATTCACATGACTTCCAAAAAAGTAACAATTTGAGGATATCTGATATCACTCAGGGACAAGATTAAATATGAACTGGGGACAAGGATGGAACTATAGGGAATGTTCCATTTCAAAAGAGGTGAACAGAGAAGTGGAACTTATAAAAGAGTATAAGAAGCAGCAGCAAAAATAGGAAACAGCATGGCCAGAGGTTTAGCTCAGTGGCACCAGCACCTGCCTGGCAAGCACAAGGTCCTGAGTTCGATCCCAGTTCCAAAAAAAAAAAAAAAAAGGAATAGAAAACAGCAGTGACCCAAGAGAAGAGAAGGAAGAGAACTGTGGTCAAGTATTGCATGACATCCAGTAGGAAGATGAGCAATAATTGGTTTTAGGATGTTCCGGTTTTTGTGAAATTGTGGATGTAAAAGCCAGAATGTGGTGGGTCAAGGAGCAAAGAGGAGGTAAAGGAAAAAGAGAAATTCAGTTTCTAAGGTAAGAGTTGAGTTCATTTTAAATTGACAGAGACAGGAGAGTGTGAACTGGGAGTGAAAGCCAGTTGGGATGGAGAGAAGTAAAAGAAAGCAGGAGAAAAGAATAATGTGCTCTTGATCAATTTTGAGTTATTTTAAAATTTTCCATTCTCTGAGTTAACCTAAAACTATTCATAATTAGCTAAATCTACTTTCCTACAAAGCCCCAGGCTGTGTAACCCTTAACTGAAAGTATTTATCCGCCTTTCACTCCACATCTCCTAATATTTACCCTTTGTATATGTTTAACATTGAGTATTGAGGAAGAATGTGGATGAGCGTCTTTAGACTCATCATGGAAGTGCCATGCCCTCTTTCAACCACTGATCTTTCAGCACTTTCTGGAAACTTTTAAGGTTTCAATGGTGGTAGGATTAGGACTTTACTGATTGTGGGGTGATGGGAAAGCTTTTCCAGTCAGACTCCTTGTACTTCAGTAATTGGGCATTTGTAAATGTTTGTATGAAAAATGCAAGAAAGAGAAGATTGTAAGTAGAGAACACAGTCATAATGCTAAGGAGGAAAACAAATAGTTCTTATTCTCTTTTTCAGTTTTCTTTCAAAAATATTCTCAGGTTCTTCAAGAAAAGAAGACTCTCTTAGAAATCTCACAGAAACACCCAGAATTGGAATGTATAAAAGCCAGTTCAACCACAGAAGGTAAAATTCACTGTGCATAGAATGCAATTGCTGGAAATAGCATGTAAGAATCCCAAGTTAGTATCTCCATTAAGGTTCCCAGGCAGCTCATACTAAGACGAGGACTCTCATGACTATTATAAGCTACAAATGTATCATTATACAGAACCCAAACTTCTTCTATTTATACCTAACTTGTCTGTGTAAGACTGGATTATGACACAGGTGATAATGCTTCTAGCCTTCTTCAGCCTTTGTTCATTTCTAAACTTTCTCTCCACACTACTCTTCCCTTCCTATCCCTGTTATAATCATTTGATTAAAATGAAGATGATGACTCTTCTATTGTGGGTAATTACTTCAATTTTTAAATAAATACTATATTTTAAAGGGTATTTTTGTAGTTACAGGACAGATGAGCATATGACATGAAAAGATCCAATTTTAATCACACCCTGCACACAGAGTACTTCCTGTTATTAACATCACAGGTGATTGTTACTCCTAATGAACAAATATTGATATATTATCATTAATTAGAGTTCATGACTTTTTTCATCTAGAAATTGAACTAATGGTTTTAAGCATGCTAGGCAAGCACTCTACCAGTGAGGCACATTCTCAGCCCAACATTGACAATTTATTCTAACTTGCTTTTCATGATTTTTTCCTCTTATCATAATTCCAGCCAGGGTACTACATTCTGTTTAGTTTTCATGTCTCTTTAATCTCCTTTTGGCTGTGATGGCTTAGGTTTTCCTTGTTTTTGATGATCTGGACAGTTTTGAGGAATACTGCTCTTATATATTCTGGGTATCTCTCTACTGCAATATGATGCTTAGAATGATTAGACTGGGGTTACTAGTTTTTGGGACAGGTCACAGTTATAAAATGCTTTTTTCTTCTCACTTCATTTCAAGGGTATATGTTATCAAAATGAAGTTGACTATTAATGTTGACTTTGATCACATAACTAAGTAGAATTTGCCAAGCTTCTCTACCATAAAGCTCTTCTTTTCTTTTCCTTTCCACCCTGTCCTCACAGATCACAATTCAGGGTTGTGGACTTATGCTCTCTGAGCTGTAGGTGCAGTATTGTGTTTTTCAGGATTCCCCAAAGAAACAGAACCAGTGGGAAAAAAAGGAATATAATTTATTTTAAGGGTTGGCTAAGGTCTCAGACCAGCAGGCAGGAGTCTCTGACAAAGGCACTCTGCTGAAGAACCAGCAAGAGCCATTGTGGCAGATGAAGCCCAGAGGTAGCCAGGTGGAGAACTCCCCCTGCTTGGGGGAGGTGGGTGCATTATATTGTCTTATTGAGATTGTTAACTAAATGAATGGTCTTTACTCCCATTATGAAGGACAATCTTCTTTCTTCAAGTCCAAAATGTAAGTGTTAAACTCACACAAAAACATCCCTGAAAAAATATCCATAATGTTTGACCAAAATAACACTTCTAATATTAGCCACCAGATATGCCTACATAGTTTATTTCAACTTGTGGTGACCGTGATATTTGTCTCTTCTATTCCATTTTTAAATTTATTCCATCATTTTTATCTGCATGTACTCATGGATGTATGGATTTTAATCCAATTGTGCTTCATGTTTTTATTCTAGATTTGGCCTTTGGGAGCTCTTTCACTTGGCTGTTCTTCCCGTTGAGATATTACCATCAATGGGAGTTTTTTTGTTTTATTTCTTGTTGTTTCTTTTTTAAAACAACTTTATTGAACTAAAATTTATATACCACACATTTTATAAATTTAAAATGTGGAATTCAATAGATTTTAGCACATTGCCAGAGTTTTATAACTTTAACCACAATCAAACTTAGGTCATTTTTGTTATCCCAAATCAAAACACCATACCTATTAGATACCATCTCCTAATCGCTCCCTTCTAAATCTAGGCACCCACTCCACTGAGCTACTCTCCGTTTTCATAGATTATTTTATTCTAGGAATTTATTTATTCTCCTTCTCCTTCTCCTCCTTACCCTTCTTCTTTCTTCTTTTTCTTCTTTTCTCATAATAGATAATTCTCATTAAACAGTAAAGACCTTAACATATCCAAAGAAATGTAAATTCTGCAAAGTGAGCTCTCATACCATACTGGAATGAGGCCAACAGCAGAAATATTTCAAATATAACAACTTTTTCTTTTCTTCTCTCTTCTAGCCTATTAAAGTTTTCATATAAGGGAAACCATACCGTGTTCAAGCTTGTGTGTCTGATTTACTCCAGTTAACATTATGGTCTCAGGGTACATCCATTTTCCCACAAATGCCTCAAGTTTATCTTTCTTAACAGCAGTAGTACTTCATTGTGTATATGTGCTACATTTTCTTTATCTATTCATCCATTGATGGGCATATAGGCCAATTCCAAGATTTAGCTTCGATGAATTGTATTCCTTTAAACATAGGTACATACACACATCACATTATTATTTGATTTATCACTTCTTTACTTTCTGGAACTACATACAAAATACTCCAGACTTGTTGCGTATTTCTTGTCTCTATTCTGAAATCAACTATTTCTCTGAAGAGCCTTCATTTCTTTTATGGAAGAAATGTATCCTTCAAATGTTTGTGTGTTATATTTTCATCATTATTTAGGATAATAGTTTTTTTTAACATTTCCTTTTATAATTCTTTGGGCATGGATTATTTAGAAGTGTCTTATTTCATTCCCAGTGTGTGATGATTTTCTTGTTTCCTTTCCCTTATTCATTGCTAATTTGCTTCCACTGAGATTGGGGAATACTCACTACGTGACTTAAATTACCTTATATTTGTTGAGGTTTGTTTTATGTCTAAGTGTGTTGTCTATCTTGGCATATGCTCCCTGGGCACTTTTATATAAGAATGATTGTTCTGTTGAGTGGAGTGTTATAAAATTGTTCATTAGATTCTGCTGGTTGATGATTTTTTGAGTCCTGTATAGTTCCTGATTTTCTGCAGTTGTCACCACCTATAATAACATATTTTCCATTTCTCCTTTCTCATGTATTATTTTTTACTGCCCATACGTTGCACCACTTCTGTTTGTTATATGCACATTTAGGGTCACAATATAAGGCTTTATTTTTCTTGCATCTATTCTGTTTCTGTGGTTCAGTTTGCAGTTTCTATTGTTTTGCCTGATGATTTCTTGATTTCTCTTCCTTCTTCATTCTGATATTGAGGCCAACCACTGAGCTTTTAAAAGATTATTGTATTTTCAATAATAAAATTTCCATTTGAACCTCCTTGTCATCTCCTATTTCTTTGCTAAGGCCTTTTATTTTTTTATTTGTTTCAAGAATAATTTCACTTTCTCACGAAGCATTTTTATCAAGGTTGCATTAAGGTCTTTTCCTCATAATTCTCACATTTGTAATCTTCTTTGTTGACATCTATTGATGATCTTTTAAAATTAAATTTCAGAATTTCCTGGTTCTTGGTATGATAAGTTACTTCTGTTAAACCTTGGACCTTTTTAAGTACTGTGTTTTTTTCTGATTCTACTATAGCAGGAGAAATGGGCCCTGACCCAATATTGCCTGATGCAGGTAGACTTGAGTTCCTTAACGTCTGAGAGGTGGGGCTTCTTGTTATGTCCACATGAAGATGTGAGCTCCAAATTCCATGTGGTCTCCCTTGGTCCTTCCTTTCAATAATATACACAGCTTTGAAAGCAGTTTTTACTTATATGTCCTTCTTTCAACAAAGGGAAGGCCTGGAGCTGTTGCCCAAAGGATTGGAAATCTTTTAGTTTCCATTGCTACTTTTTTTCTACTGATTCAAAATCCTGGAATAAAAGTGCAGAGAGTTGCCGTAGCATGAAAGCTAACCTGCTGGTGATCAACACCAAGGAGGAGCAGGTACTGTCAGAGATAACGGAGTCTGAGCACTGGCTGTTTTGTGTATTTTTCCTCTCCTTATCTTCCTATTTCTGATTGACCATAGAGAACTCAATTGAAATATTACAGTTTACCCATAAATATGTACAATTATGTGTTAATCAACATTCTCTTAAAGTTCAAAGAGAAGGAATTGTTAACCAAACTGACTTGGTCATTGTATACATGTCACCAATTATCACACTGTACCTCATAATTTTGTATAATTAAAATATTCATTTGAAATTTTTAAAACCATGAAAAATTGAAAAAAAGAACAGTACTACTGAATACTACAAAGGATATGTCTTTCTCCCCTTTTATTAGGATTTCATCATCCAGCATCTGAAAATAAGACCTTTATATTATGTAGGACTCTCAGATCCAGAGGGTCAGAGACATTGGCAATGGATTGACCATACACCATACAATGAAAGTGCCACGTGAGTACAGAGTTAGATAAAGGAAACCTGGCTCCTGGGTCATGAGGATATTTAGGATAGTCTAGCTACCAACACTATGGTACTGAAAGAGCTCACTCTTGTATGAACTGTAGGGTACTGGATTAAAATTTTTTATCATTTTTTTAAATCATCATGTGAACCCAATGACACATTGTTATTTTTTCCCACTATAGGTGAGAGAAAATTGAGTTAGGAGACATAGTTAATTCTGCTAGTCTTCTAATATTTTATATTCATATAATTTTTTAAAACACTTAAATGCTTCAGTTATCACCAACTTTGACCCTCATATTTACTATGTGAATACACAGTGACAATACTTCATCCCCAACTTTTTATGTGAAAATTAGAAGTGAATAAAATTAAAATTTTTGACTGAAATTACAGTAATACATTCTTTAACTCATTCTTCTTATCTCCAAATCATTCCATTAAAAAAAGAAACCATATTTTTATATGGTTTCAGGTGGAATCTGTTTGGCATATAAGGAAAACCTATGCATTGATGGTCCCCTGGAACCAGACCTAAGGTGAACACATAGAGGAGATCCTCTGGGATATCTTCTGGGAGGGCAGTTAATGCAATAATGTGAGAACACGGTGTGAGTTTGGCAGTTTGTGAGGGAAATGCCAGAGATGCAGGTGGAGGAGAAATTGCATGAGGAGTGAGGAAGAGCTGAGTTGGGAATATTTGACCTTGACCTCTAGAATGCAACCCAAGGCCCCTTATTATCTCTAACCCTGTTCAAAGCATTGTCAGAAAAAAATACATTCATATTTTTTTCTCACTTTCAGATTCTGGCTTCAAGGTGAGCCCAGTGATAATACTGAGCGTTGTGTTGTGCTGGCCTCTCATCATAATTATAAACATAATCGTCATCAATGGGGCTGGAATGATATATTTTGTGATATATCACAACTTTCAGTTTGTGAGATGATGAAGATCTACTTATGAATCAAGCACTCTCTGGGAACCGGGTTGGATTGACATCCATCGTTATAGTGAGAGTGTCATAGAATTTTGGGGTAGGTAGTCAACTACTCCACTTAGGAGAAAATTGGTCCACACAGTTATCTGTTTATTCATTCATTTTCTCATCACAAAATGAGTAGTGAGTATTTTCCATGTTCCATAGACTACACTGGAGACCTCTTTTGTGCACACATAGAAGGCTTTATTTTTAATGTCTACCTGATTGATAAGGGTTTATTTACTGATAAAATTTTATGAAGTGCTCCCTCCACTTGGCTGGGGTTTTTTTCTCTTTTTCTCATTTGGTTGTTATTGATGTGTAATTGACAAATAAAATAATACATATTTAAGTCACATTACAATGTAATGCTTTGATACATGTATATTCTGTGACGTGGTTACCATTAAAACATCCATTACCTAACATAGTTAGCATTTTTGTGTGCTAAGATGTAAGACCTCCACAGGCAAATTAAAATTATGTAATATTGCGGCTATAGTCATTATGCTGCACATTAATTTCTTAGAACTTAATGATCTTTAACTGAACATTTATATTGATTAAATATCTTCTTTTTCCATATACCCCTCAGTGCTTATCAATCATTGTACTTTTTTTTTTTTTTTTTTCAGTACTGGGGATTGAACTTGGGACCTTGCACTTGTGAGGCAGGAGCCGGAACCACTGAGCTAAATCCCCGGCCCTGTACCTTCTGATTTTATTTTGTTGACTTTTCAAGGATCTTCACACCAGTGGGATAATGCAGTATTTATAGCTCTCTGTTGACTTATTTCACTCAGTCTAATGTCTGCCCTGTTCGTGCTGTTGCAAATGACAGTAGCCATTTTATGGTGGAACAATATTTAAGTATGTATATGTGGTATATGTGTGTTTGAGTATAAAGCACATTTTCATATTTTATCAATTCACCTATGAACAAACAGACTGTCTCTATGTCTTCACCACTATAAAAAATACTGTAGTGAACATGGGAGCACAGATGGCTATAAATAGTGCTTTTATTATTTTTGGACACATTCACAGAAATGGGATTTTTGGAGAATATAGTACTTCTATTTTCTTTTTTTGAGAATCCCCTAAAGTCTTACACAATGGCTTTACTGGTTTATTCTGCAACCAACAGTGCACAAAGCTTTCTTTTTATTCCTGTCTTGTGAATCCTTGACCACTCATGTGATTGCGATACCAATCATCCCAGCAGATGTGAAGTGATAGTTTTCTGTTTGTTATGGTTTAGATCTAGCATGGCCTCCAAGCGTTCATATAATGGAAGCTTGGTTCTTGGTGTAGTGGGACCTTGTGGGAGCTTGTTAAGTCATGCACAGCATTGACAGTGCTACCCTTGGAGGTATTAAGGTGGTCTTTCTGGGATCCTGAGTGGAGTCTTCTTTAATTAATTTCTCTATCAGTGTTGAATAGCTTTCAGTGTGCAAATCTGTTGTCTTTGATTGAATTTACTAACAAGCATTTTCTTGTATTTGATTCTCTTGTAAATCAGACTGGGGTGGGTTTTTTCCAGAGAGTTTGCTCTTAGTGTATGGAGACACAATTGAATTGTTAATATTTATTTTGTATCTTCCAACTCTTCTAAACTTATTAATTGATCTAACTTTGCGTGCATATATGTGTCTTTCCAGCTTTCTTTGTACAAGATGATGTCATTTTCAGACAGACAGTTCTACTTCCTCCTTTCTTCTTACTTGGAGGCCTTTTACTGTGTTTTTCTTAACTGTTTAGACCATCAAAATGTATGTGGAATAAACTTGTTACTGTTGTTCCTGATCCTCTTGGTGATATTGCAATTTTTCACAGTTAAAAATGATATGAGCTTGTTATATTGTAGCCCTTTCTCTGCTGAGACCTATTCCTTCAGCACTTATTTTTCTGAGAGTATTCATCACTATGTTAAATTTTGTTAAATGCCTTTTAATCTACTGAACTTTTACCATATGATCTTTATCTTTCATTGTGTTAGTATAGTGTATGCTATTGATTGATTTGCTTATCTGAATCATTCTTGTGTCCCACTGCACATCTCACCCTGTTGTGTGATCTTTTCAACATGCTGTTGAAATAAGTTTGCTAGTATTTTGTTGAAGACTTTTGCATTTACATTTCAGGGATATTGCCTTGTAGTTTTCTTGTTTTCTAGCACTCATATTTGACTTTGTTATTTGTGTAATGTTGGCATTTAAAAAGGAGTTTCAACTTTTAATGACAACGGTTTCATCTTTTAATTTTTTTGAAGAGTTTGGGATGGAATGATCTCAATTTTTCTGAAATATTTGTTTTATTTCACCAGTGAATCCACCTCTTTTTAGGGATTGCTTTTCTTCCAGTTTTATGTTTACAGTTTCAAACTCCTAACTCATTGTTGGTTTGTTTAGATTTTATTTCTCCATGTTTCAGTGTTATTAGGTAGGGTTCTTCTAAGGATTTATTCATATCATCATGGTTATTTATTTATTCATATATAATTATTCACAGTGATAATTGTTTTGACAATTAGTTGTTTTGTCAACTTTAGTAAGAAACACCCAACTGAATGGCTTAGCATAGCTGTGGGTGGTATTGAATGGATTTCCTGAAGATGGAAGATCCACTCGGGGTATGAGTGGCACCAACTAAAGGGCACGTAGCCTGAGAGGAATAAATTGGGAAAACAGAAGGAAGCCTCACTTCTGTTTCTAGAGAGGACCTGCAGTCTTTGCACCTGCTTTGGACCTATGTCTCCTGGTCTTCGTCACAGACTCTATAGCATTCCAGCCCAGACCCTTCTGCTTCCTGATCTGGACTTGCATAGGGCTCTGCTGTGAGCTCCAGACCTTCAGCTTTTGGATCTCCAGCGTACAGATGGTGCTTCTTCCACACGTGACTCTTCAGGCAGACATTGTGGGCTGCCATGTAAATGTATACATATACTTGTATATTGTATTAAATCTGTTTCTCTAAAAAACACTGACTGATACAGTTTGGTACTGGGAGTGGCTCTAGAGAAAGAATTATAAAGATGAGATTCTGAAGGGCTTCAGTGGTTCTTGGAGCTGATGCTCTACTTTGATGAGGCCTAAAGTTGCCATGGTCTCTTCTTCTAATACTGCGCAGAGTAGCAATAGTCTATGATGTGATTTGTTTAAAATAATGTGCAATGTAGATCCATTTGATTATCCCAATTCACCACTGGTGAGATGCAAGGAATTTAGTGACTCCTTATATGATACTTTTGAATATTTTTGGCAGAGTGGGAAATATAATGGTGTTGGCTGGTTCCTTGTAGCATCTCTGAAAAAACCAGTAAGTGAAAATAATGAGCTCAAATCAGGCATAAAAAAATCTACAGTCTTCTGAGTGTGAAGGTAAATAAATACATGAAAATAAGGAGCTCAAAGATTCAAATTCTCAATTCCAGACATTCATAAATAATTTAAAAATTTCTAAGTGCATCCTGAAGGAGAATTTTCTATCTTTTAACAGCAGGGGTGAGATTGCAGAAACCCAAACATGATTTGATTGGCTGTAATACAGCATACATTTAATGCTCAGCCTGAAGGATATCTGAAGGAAAGGTGAGGACTAATCAGAAAAGGATGGGATCCTGTACATCAGAATGGAGATGTTGGGGAGGATACTGACAAAGTTAGGGACATCAAGCTCCTAGAATCTAATGAAATTATTTTGCCAAAGGAAGAGATTTCTCACCCACAGTGACAGAAGCATCGCTACCCTCCCCCAGTGTTGTCCATCCCTCCTATACCTGAGGAAACCGATCCTGTGTTGTGTGATACTGTTAAGAAGCAAGACAATGCACCCACTTCCGTCTCTAGTCCTAGAGCCAGACTTAAATCCCAGAGGGCTCCTAAAGTGAGGTATACCGCGTGACCCAGGAGGAGGTCTGCTCTTCTCCTAAAGAACTTCTTGAGTGTTCTAACTCTTAAAAGCAGAGGCTTGTTGAGCAAGTAGAGGAATGGGATAATGGTGGCAAAAACATTCAGGCCGAGTTTGTTGATATGGACCCATTAAGTAGAGATTCTGAATTTAATTTGAATTTAATTTGCAGCTCAGGGAGTTAAAAAGATTTTAATAGTTTATTTGATTGGTTGGCAGAAGTATGAATCAAAAGATGACCCTCTGTTGTTGTGTCTGGGAGTGGGGACCAGGAATTCCCTGTCATGACCTTCCACCTCTCTTTGAGCCCTTGCCCTCACTCTAGTGAGGAAAGGAGAAGTGGACGGAGCTCTTAGCAGAAAATGGGGATTAAGACTGGTAAAGTGGAAGTGAAAGTTTGTTTAAAGTGAGGCACATGCAGAAAAAGCCCAAGGAGAGCAAAAGGGCGCTGGAAGATGAGGGCATCCTAGTTGGGGAGCCTGCTGAGTATGAGATAGGTCCATCCTAGAGGGGCAAACTATTTTGTTGATTAGTGTGTGCCAGCCAATTAGGGTCTCAGCCTTTGTTTCTTGGAAGAGGACAAGATCAGCACACACATTAGAAAGAGTAACACTTTCCTAAGAGATCAGCACACACTTTATAAAAGAGTAACACTTGCATAAAGGATACAGTAGGGTACCTTTTTTTAAGCATGTGGTACCGTGTAAGCATATGATGATCTTACAATCATCAGCCATAGAAAAGCGTTACAGTTGTCAGCTGCAGATAAGCATATGATGATTTTACAGTGTTAGTTATCCGTGTTTCACCTTGGGTTTTTCTATGACCTTCTAATCTACCCCTACACTGTGAATGAGTTAGAGATGCCTGATATTCTTTGGTTTATTGTTGATGAGAATATTCAAAGGCTCAGGGAAATACAAATGCTGGAGTGGATTTATTATGTTAAACCTAATCTGCCACAATGGGATGATCCAGAAAATTTACTCTTTACCATACCTTGAGAAACAAATTTAAATAATACGTTAGTACCCATTTTGATTTTATAAAGAGGAATTAATGAACTGAATGCATAATTGAATTATATTTCTAAATCAGTCAATATTAAAAAGATGTTGATATTATGTATTTGATACATTTTATAGGATTATAAAAGGAAGACTATTCTATAGATTGTCTTAAGAACTTAATGTATAAAGGTGTAATAGTATAAAAGTGAATAAAAATGATGTGAGCATTAATGTGAATAAATCTTAGTAACATGTAAAGAAAAATAATGCTTAAAAGACACATATATTACCTTTAAAAACTAGCAACTCAATAAATCTAAACATATTATTCAAGTACACATATCATGTGCTAAAATTTTACTTATATGTAATTAAATCTGTCAAGTACATGTATAATAAAATTAAAGTGGATCACTACATGGCTACCTTAGATTTCTTCCACCTTAGGAAAAAGGCAGAGAAAGAAGAAAAGAGAGAAAAGTGATCATTAAGATTCTTAAGCCCTTTATATTATGTAAAAATTATAATAGCTAATATTTATTGAGAAATTATTCTAAGTTAAGCACCTATTATAGTACCTTACCTCATGTGATTAAATTCCCTAGAAAATTAGCACTGTTATTATTTTTATTGTTAATAAAACAGTAATGGAGTCTCCAGGACTTTATTTTCAGCATGGATGGGGCTTCCCCCACCTGGTGTGTGTGAATCCCAAGGTTCAATTCCCAGAAGAAAGAATAATGTTTGAAAAGGAGGTTATGTAATAAATATGCTCAAAAACATACATGATAAATGGTAGAGCCAGAATTACAATGAGGCATAATTTGAGAAGTTATACTTTCCACATTAAAAAACTGATGTTTTGTGGCCTCTGCAAATGATTGAGCAAGGATGGTTTTCCTGATTTCTCCTGGTTTAGTGATTTAAACTCCTGTAGGACTTGGTGCTTGTAATGTGTAAGCAGGTCACACCATAGGGAAAATATACCTCAGTGCTGATTTCTGGTGAAATAAAATACAGAAGAATTCTCCAAACATTTAAAGAATTGTGATCATTTCTTCTCCAATTGTCTCAAATAATTAAATGGAATCCCAAGCTTTTATGGCTAATATTATTTTAATCCCAAAGTCAGATAAGATCATTACAAGAAAAAGAGATTCTCTGCATGACTATTTCTGATGAACATAGATGCACAAATTCACATTGAAATGCAATCAAACTGAATTTAACAGCACATAAAAAGAATCATACACTATGATTAAATGGAATTTACTCTTGGGATGCACAGATAGTTTTACATCTGCTAATCAATAAATATGACATACAACAATAACAAGAAAGAAGAGAAAAACCATATCATCTGATATACACTAAAAGATCATTTGAAAAAATTGAACAGTATTTTGTGACAAATACTCAACAAGTAAGATGTACAGGGAACTTCCTTCAAAGTGATGAGGGACATATATCTAAGTCCAGGGCTAACATCATCTGAAATTGTGAAAAATTGGAAGTTTTTCTCTCATATCAAGAACAAGACAAGAATGTCTACACTTACCACTTCTATTCAACAATCAGGGAAAAAAGAAAAAGTCATCTGAATTGAAAAGAAAATTATTTCATTTGCAGGGATCATGACCTTGTATACAGAAATCCTCTACATTAACACTGCACCAAAAACTACTAAAACTACAAAAATTACTAAAACTAGTAAATGTAGGGAAGGTGCAGAATGCAACACCAACAGACAGAAATCATTAAATGAAAACTTTACCTTTTTGTGCACGTGAGCCCACAAAACATGGCATGTCACTGATTCCTTTGATCTCCCCAAGGCTTATTTTATATTGCCCTAATGCAAAAATCCTTGATTTTTTAAAATGCTAATATTTATATCAGCCATGCTTTTCTTTGTTCCAACTTTGCTGCCATATCCTTTCTATTAATATTGAAAACATTTTACATCTGACTTTGACTCTAATATTTTTTTCTGCTTCTTACAGTGAAATTGTCTGAAAATAGCAGAAATCTGCATGTCACAGCCTAAACAATGGGCTTCCTTGAAATTTTCTCTGAGAGTTATTTTTCTGTTTTATTTACTCTGTTTCCTACAAAGTCCTGTTGTATGGGCTAAATATAGACCTTTTTTTTTTTTTTTTTGACGTAGTATCATACTCTTGGCCTTGAGTCCAATTGACAATGGAGTCCCTGTTCCCAATTGAAACCTCCTGAGCCAAACTTTTTTGTCTACACTTATATCAGGATTTTATTCTTCTAAGCTCTAACCAGAATTTCCCATCAAGCTTGTCTTACAGCATCTGAAGGCTTCCCTAACTGGCATCTCCAAATATTTCCAAACTACCCACAAGCCAGGAGCAAAGTCTTCTGAGCCACACTGTCAGATAGAGATATAACAGAAACTTCATTTGTCTGGTACTAAAATATCTCTTAGTAATTTTCTTTTAACTGGGACAAAAATATACATCCACAAATTAAGGAGGAGAGATTTATTTTGTCTCAAAATTTTCATAGGATTCAGTCTATAGTTAGTTGTTTCCAAGGCAGGAAGGGCATGGTGGAAAGGACTAGAGGAGGAAAGCTGTTCATGCTATGATATCTAGGAAGCACAGAAAGAATAGAGGAGCCAGGGAGGAAGGTGGAGCCTTCCAGGTCACAGCCTCAGTGACTCTATTCTTAAAACTAGACCCAAATCCTAAAACAGATTCAGCTATGGATTCATCATCACTGATCAACATGGGGTGCCCATGAATCAGTCACCTTCCGAAAACCCCACCTCTGAACTCATGAAGCTTTTAGAGAGGATTTTAGATTTAAACCATAACACCAACAGCATACTAACAAAAACAGCATGGTACTGGCTTAAAACTATACACATAGACCAGTGGAATAGAAAAGACTACATAGAAACAAATACACACGATTAAAGGCATCTGATTCTTGACATATAAGCCAAAATGTGTTTGAGGAAAGACAGTCTTTTAAAGAAATGTTGCTGGGAAAAGTGTATATCCATATATAGATGATTAGAACCCCATCACTTGCCCTATACACATATCAACTCAAAATTGGTCAAATACCTAAGTATAATAAATGAAACTTGGAAACTTCTAGAAGAAAATATAGTGGAAAAACATGAAGCCATAGTTACAGCCAAAGACTTCCTGAATTAGATGCCATTGGCACAAGAAATAATTGTAATAATCAACAAATGGAACAACATTAAATTAAACTTTTTCGCTAGCAGGGAAACAACAAACAAAATGAAGGAACCATCTACAGATTGGAAAAAAATATTTTCCTGTTATTCCTCTGATAGATGTTTAATATCTAGTATATTTTAAGAACTAAAAAGAAAATTAATACCTAAAAATCAGAAAACCCAATCAATAAAAGGGCAAATGAACTGAAAAAAAGTACAAATGGACAATAAGTATATAAAAATAATAGATAATAGAAAATAATATGTCTCCATTAAAAGAGGTCTGGCCCGAATACTCTTAAGTGAAATAAATAGGACACATATGTGTAAATACCGAATAGTTTCTCTGGTGTGAGAAACTGAAAGTGTAAATAAGGACTAAATGTATAATAGGTAAT